ATAGCACGGAAATATTTAGACTATTTGTATACATATAGATTTATATTTATGTACAGAATATTTTTAATGAATTGATATCCTCATTATTTTGAAAGGCTGTGAATGATTAAAACATTCACACAGCAAACGTAATCTTTTTCATTAGACATCATCAGCTTACTCTCACCTCCCTGAATGAATGTTTCCAAGTGTGAAATAAATATAACTATTATTGAATTAACCATATAATAAAACAACAAACATAGTGAGATTTTTGTATCCAATAATTAAAAATCCTTTTTAACCCCCCCCCTAAATGAGAAGATTACAGTTGTTGTGTTTGTGTTTTATCCACCACCCTTAATGTTAATGCTAAGTTGATATTTTAAATGGAAAACTATTGTAATTAACAGTCAAGCGCCATCATAGGTGTAAATTTTATAACGTTTGGTTTTTTTTTGTACTGATTGTTAGGATAATATATATTATTGGAGAACAATTTAATAATTTTTACAGTTTTGTTATTTTAGAATGCAGGAACACAACACACAATGTGATCAAAGAAAAGATTAGGGAAGTATTGTAACAGAGGCGCTTGTGTACAAGCTGGGTTCCCAATTGAAAATTATGTTCCCAGCAATCTTGCAATGCCCCTACAATGTAAAGTGAAAAACAGATTATTTACCATAATAATCACACAGTTTTTTTTCTTTTAAGGGTACACACCCGACTTTCAGCTTAGGGATGTTTGAGCTTGCTCAGCACATTTTAGAATTACATTGTGTTCAAGATCTTGGGAGTTTACTCTAATATATACATAAAAAATAGTGAACAGTTCCATATTTTTCCATTAAAAGTAAATCTATGACAGAATAGCACATATCCCCAAATCATGAGTTTATTATAGATAGAGTCATTAAAATATGATTTTTTTTGAGCATATGCATATTGAGAAAATATGGCATATTAATTAACATTAAATAATTAGAATCTACCTAAAAACAACAATATTATTTGAGAAATATATTTTCACTGATTTTTTTTGCCATGAAAACTGTTCTCTATATTGTATTTTCATTTCAGCGGGCAAGTATACTACAGTTGAATTCTTTTTTTCTGAAAACAGCTTTTTTTTGTGTTAGAGACGGCATATTTACAAATCTATAAATATAGAACTTTCCTGTAAGTAGATTTTTCCTGAACAGACTTCATTAAAAAAAAAATTTGTAAGTGAAAGTACAGATTAAACTTCATCTATGATGGGTGAAATGTAAATTTCTTTGAAGAAGATGAAATTAAATTTTACTTGTTATAAGATTATGCAAATATATTTTTAACATTTTTATTTTATTTTTTAAGATTGTATAAAGATTACAAAATAAATGAACTTTAGAAAATTTTATATTCTATGGATTTTGCATTAAACATGTTTGAGGATTGAAATAATTTTGACTGAATTGGTAATTAAATGATTTTTTTTATCCTTTTCATTAACAGAAAAAGCAAAATTAAAAACAATTGAAAGATCACAAAGACAATCCACCCATCATTGAAATGAGCGTGTTTATGCATTTGGACATGCTTCAGTGGAGTGTTTCACTTTATATTTAGAAACTTTGGCAGAAAACTCAAATATTCTCAATTACTTTCATAAACGAAACAGAATAAAAAAAAAATTGAAAAGTTGCCACTAGAGGGCAGACACTGATTGTATAAATATTGTCACAAGAGGGCGCCGTTGTATAACAGTTGTTCACATTCTACTAAAGTAGGAGTCTTTACCAGTACATGCAACAGATTGGCATAGCATGTCATTTGTTACAAATAAGGATCTACCCATGGTCTTTGGATTTTAGTGTTTTGTTATCATCACTTAGGACTCAATTCCCAGATGTGACCAACATGACAACTGCTCCCCTCTATAAATTGATCAATTCTTGACATTTCTAAGTGACAAACACATATTCTGTCACACATTTCTAGACAAGACAGAGGGAAATAACTATACAGAAGCATTATTTGTTTCAAATATTTCTCTAATGTTTATATAGCTAAACAGGATTCGAAATACATGTAATGATCATAAACGAAACAGAATCCAAAAAGATTGGAAAAGTTGCCACTAGAGGGCAGACACTTATTATATAAATATAGTCACAAGAGGGCGCAATTGTATAACATTTGTTCACATTTTACTACTGGTAAAGTATGGGAGTCTTTACCAGTACCCATGAGCCTTTGCATTTTAGTGTTTTGTTATCATCACTTAGGACTGAATTCCAGGATGTGACCGAGATGACAACTGCTCCGCTTTATAAGTTGCTTCAATTCTTGATATTTCTTGTTGATAAACACATAATCTGTCACACACATCAAGACAAGATAAATACCTAAACAGAAGCATTATTTGTTTCAAATATTTCTCTAATGTTTATATAACTAAACAGGAGTCGGAATACATAAGATGTAAATGTTATGCTGTGCTAAAAATAATTGATAAAAAAGTGATGATATATGTACATAGTAATTATGTTCTAAAATCTAACAATGCTTTGTTGACATGAACAACATTGCAAAGTGTAACAACAACAAAAGCTATATAAATAAAGCTTACGGGGAAAATTACTTCAACAATGTGCAATGAACTACCAGATTATAATATAGGGATGGACCATTTTTAAATCTGGGGATGATTACTCCAGTCTAAGAAAAATATTTTCCATGTACATGTACAAAATATTGTTTATGAACAAAAAAATCTTTCTTGCAAACACATTAATCTTAAGAATGCCATTCGCAACACCAAATTATTGGTGAAATAGTTTACACATTTGTTAATTGGACCAACGTTTTATTTTATGTTTTAAATATGGAAAAGTCGCAAGAGTTAGCTTTGGTTTTCAATGGGTTAAACCAGTAAATGAAAACAATGACACCCATAAATCTTTTCATTCGTCTTAGCTGTAGACAGGTTAAATAATATACATAAAATGCTCATCAAACCACCCATCTTTCAAATAATTGTCTTCCCCTAAGTACTGTAAAATGTATGGTTCTTTGAAAGAGGAACATGCGTTTATGAAGAAAAAAAAAATTAGCCAGTACAATATTGTAAAATTGGCACTTAACAAATCCTCAATCAGCGTAATTCAAAACAGAATGTTCAGAAATATTTTATATACCTTGAAGTCAACATTGTTTTGATTGTTTTTCGATAAACTAATTCATGTAAATAATATGTGCAGAACAAACGCATACATAATGCGTGATATTAAAGGAAAAGTGAAAAAATTATAATTTTCTCAGCTTCTACATGACAATCATTTTCAATTTTTTGTAATAGTTTGGCAAGTTTCTTTAAACTACGGGTATTAAAAAAAACATCACCATAATCATGATTATTATCTCAAAAAAGAACAGCAAACAGAATATGATTTATTGCATGTTGCATTCATTGCATTTTCGCTTATTATTAAAATTAATTCAACTATCTGCTTGTGCACATTTATAATATGCAGGAAGAATAGGCACAATGTTCTATATAAATTTGTTTGGACGGATACCACAATTACCAACTTAATCACATCAATATACTCATTTTGAAGAAAAGGCAAATTCTCTGGATTAAAAGCAGATGTCAGAAAAAAAATCTTATTAATTGTAATAATTAATAAAGAAAATACTATCCACAAATTTAAAAAAACATCAATGTTTTAAATCTAAAAGCAAATACATCAATAACTATACATGAAAATATATACAATTTTGCACTGTAGTGTTGTGTAAATACACCAAATTTTAATGGGGAGAGAACATGAGATAAAATAATCACTGTGCTGGAAGTAGAATTTGCAAATGATGCTAGCAATAGATTATACAGCTTAAAAAAATATTCATCAGTATTTACAGTTTAAGTTATATATAAAATATGGCGTGTTCCTATCACTGTAAAATACCTTAATTTCCGCTGAAAAATCATTTTGGTCATTTTGTATGGAATTTAATTTCATGGATTTTTGACAAGTTGAATGTGAAATATAGGAAAAATGTATATTCGCTGGAATTTATTTTTAATGAAGCATACCTTCAGTGAAAATAAATTCCAAGCAAAAATAAAGTATTCTACAGTATACTAATATAACTACAAAGCTTCGCCATGTAAACTGGAGTACCATTTCTTTGCTTTGTAAAGCTATTCCAGCTGTATTTTCACAAGGCATTTTTGAAGTGAAGATAAATATTCATTATAAACAAAATCAAAATATTTAAAAAGTTTGATAAAATTGTTAAATCACACAGTATTTTGACGCGCAGGAATTTTATTTTCATGATCAGAATCAATCAGTATGTATGCCAGTGAACAGTATAAATCAATCAAAAGTATATTCAGAGGTTGTCAATTTTTTGGACTGCACCAGGGAGACCAATGTTTATGTTGTATACCCTTATTAAAGGGTGGTGGTCGTCGCGCCCAGCATGTGCAACTTTTGTGCTGATAAACATTGATTTTCCCACAATCCAATGCATTTTTAGAATGTAATCATGAGTACGAGTTTTGACCTTGGTGCGTCTTGCACTAATTACCACCGGTGCCTACTGGATACCTTCCAATCACCTGAATATTACCCAATTAAAGCTTGATAATGTCCCAATTTGTACTCGTTGATCTGCGCAACAGTCAAAGTCGCCATCTTTGTTTATATGAGACCCATATATCGTACATGCATGGCACAACGACCATCGCCCTTTAATCTGTCTTTCGTTTTACATAAACTGTGATTTTAATCCAGTATTTGTGATTGAATTTCTGAATTTACACTTTACAATCATTAATATAAAAAATTCAAATTTTAAATACACTTTACTGATATATCTGTATAAAGCCCTATATAGAGTGGGTGAACACAGAATCAAAGTCTCTTGGCACGTTAGTGTATCAATAGAAGACTGCATAGAATAAAAAGTATACATTTACAGAATATATATCCACAATATTAACTTTGAAGGCTACAAAATATATACACAAAGACTGTCTGTAAGGCAATATCAACTGATATAATGTCCTTTGAGATGAGGCTAGAAAATATCTACATTACAGAATAAACTAACTAGGCAATGTCAATAAATATTGATCTGGAAGATGGCTACAAAATATACATGGACAGAATGCATTACGATGAGGGCAATATCAACTGATATAGGCTCTTTGGAAGGAATCTAGAATATACATGTACGGTATACATGAATAGAATGCCTTATGATGAAGGCAATATCAACTTCTTTAGGCTCCCTGGAAGGCAGCTAGCAAATATACGCAGAAATAAATAAGGACAATATCAACCAATATATGCCCTCTTGCAACCACAGCTGCAGCAGAATCGTGCCTCTGCCACGGGATACTTTGTACCACAATCATGACAAAACGGAGAAGGTTTTCCACCACCAGCATTTCCATTCAGAGTGGCGTTGATGCGTGGTGACATTTGTGGTAGCCTGCGAACTGCACTTGTTGATGGGGATTTTGTATTTTGTGATGTCATATTTGGCGAAGACGTTCTGAAATTCTCATCCAGTGGCGTAGTTCTGTTAAAAAAGAAAAGAGAAAAAATACTAAATATATTGACAGCTCAAAAATACAAATCATTTCCATGGACGTCATTCAAGCAACAAAATTACATCAGGTTTCTGAGATTATCTCTAAATATCTGATAATTCATATGGATTATAAACCATTGATTTTTATTCTTAGATTAATCAGTGGTAAAGTGACAACCGCTCGACAGGCAAATCATCAACTATATATTGGTATATTTCATTGAGTTGAATAACAAAAATGGGTCATATTTCCTTAAGTATGAAGATGTATAAACTACTTGGTGAGGTTAAAATCAGTCGTCTAAGATTAGAAATTGATGTTCCATTTACTGCTCGATCTCTTGTAATGTGTGTCTGCCACGAAAATTAAATAATTTTGGTTTCCATTTTTTTATTGTTCAATGTTAAAATGCTGATCTTTCAAAGAGGAATACGATGTTGGGATACCCTTACTTTATATAAAATTACCATGATCAAATATGTATAGCATATTATTAAAAAAGGAAATACCCACAAATACTTTTGTGTTTGTCAAATCCAATCCGTTGTTCTGACGATACTATGATGCTGTGACCTATTTTTGACCTGTTTTTATGTTTGGTTTCACGAATAACACAGGAATTTGCAGCGAACGCTCTATTGACGCTAAATGATGTAACTTAAAGTGAAGGGATCATCACCTGTGCGCATGGGGCGATAACAACGCACGCTAAAAATGCAAAGGCTCATGGGTAGACGTTTATTTGTAAACAACAACACGCTATGGCTTTAATTGTTCTGGCCTACACATGTAGTTGACACCAGAACTACAAACTCATCAAACCGCCATTATGAAAGAAATATGGTCACATGGTCAAGTCAGATACATGTACATGTATAAGCATTGATTTCTGTGACAACACAAAGTTTTCACATACAAAATCTGAAAGAAAATTAACATGCACTTACGTTTCAAATGTAGCTTCTGGTTTTGCTTGAACAGATCGTTTTTGTGATGCTTGCTGACGGGCCTGACTTGCTTTCGTTTGTCGGTAGGTGCCTTGATTTCCATACCAGCTAGTGTTACCCTGCCCACTACTGGGTTTTCTCATGTCAGACGCTAGCATTTCGCCATCTTGATCAGCAAACCTGAGAATTAGTATGAAAAAATTGGAAACTTTAACCATGATTATTATGAAGGAGTTAGAGGGTTTGACTTTGATTATTATGAAGCAGTTAGAGGGTTTGACTTTGATTATTATGAAGCAGTTAGAGGGTTTGACTTTGATTATTATGAAGCAGTTAGAGGGTTTGACTTTGATTATTATGAAGCAGTTAGAGGGTTTGACTTTGGTTATTATGAAGCAGTTAGAGGGTTTGACTTTGATTATTATGAAGCAGTTAGAGGGTTTGACTTTGATTATTATGAAGGATTAGAGGGTTTGACTTTGATTATTATGAAGCAGTTAGAGGGTTTGACTTTGATTATTATGAAGCAGTTAGAGGGTTTGACTTTGATTATTATGAAGGAGTTAGAGGGTTTGACTTTGATTATTATGAAGGAGTTAGAGGGTTTGACTTTGATTATTATAAAGAAGTTAGAGGGTATACATATCACATGATCCATCCTTTGCTTAGTGACAGCCATGAGGTCAAAAAAGTCAAAATGAGGTCCAAAATTTTAAAATGAGGTCACAAGTATGTCCAGTAATATAAATACCTGATGTGTCCAGACTGTTTGGCCCTATGTTGTGTTGCCATAGCAGCAGCTGGAGATTGTCTGTTTCCTGATTTCAATGTACTAGCTGATCTGGCTGTTGAATATTTAGGGCCGACACCCTCATTACGAGAAACTGAAACATTGCCTCCACCTGTAAGATGGAAGGATATTAAAAACAAATCAGAATAGGTCATCATTTGGTGTTCTTATACATGTAATTCAAAGCTTTGAAAAAATGCTGGTGTAAAATATTCAAAATTTGTCATTTTTGAAACAACAATTTTTAAGTTAATTTGATACATTGTCTGGCACATAATTTAAAAAAACAAATGTTTAGAATAATTCACAAAAGAATAGGCAGAAATTAGAAAGTTATTATATTGGAATTGAATAGAAATGTTCTTGTCACCATGGAAACCCAAACTTAAATTTATATTGTATGTCAATTCACATAACTGTATATTTTATTGAATAATATAAAAAAAACACTAAACATCAACACAGTTTTTTTCACATTCATAATCCAAAAAAACTTTAGAAAGAACTCTCATGTGTTGAAGGTATCGGAAACTAGAAGTACAACTTAGAAATAATCCGATTAGCAGCTATTGAGATACCATAAAATTACCTAATCTAGAAACATATATTACAATGCTAATGTTATCAGGTCTCTATAGTATCCAAAATCTATTGAAAATATTTGTTGAATTCCTATAAATTGATTAATTTATGCCAATTATGTAATTATTATGCACAAATTCAACTCTATACAAATCTGATTTGTGCATTCCCTTACCAAAATGGATAGCTATCGATTAGTAATCGACATGCTCTCAAAGATAGGCTTCGAAAGCGTACAGTAATTTTTGGTGTTTTGAATAGAATTTATTTTCACTGAATCATTCCTTCAGCCAAAATAGTGAAAATTGATTCCAAGTGAAAATAAAGTATTTTACAGTAACTAAAATTTAGTAACATGTGATTGGCCAAGCCTGATTATTTTTTTTTTTGTTCTATATAGAGAAGCTCATTTTTTCAATGTTTGAGAAGACTATCAGTTGCATGTTTGCAAAACCTGATAACATATTTTTATTTTAGAACTCAATTGTATTTAGAAAAACCAATGATTTTTAAGTCTGATAACATATTGTCCTTGTACTTAGAGCTCAATTTATTCATATTCATATTCATTTTTTGTTATCAAGATAGCTGAAAGGTTAGAATGAGTAATTTGCTTCTTTTTTAAGTTTTCAGCAACCTAGCGACAACTTACTGACAAGTTAATTAGCTATCCATTTTGGAAAGGGTTGTCTCAGGACATCTCTGTCCCACAGAAATTTGACAAGTGGTACTTGAGATATCAGTGGAAAAAGGCATACCAGTACAATGTACACACAAACATACATGAACACACGGACACAGGCTAACTCACAAAGACTTCCATTCACACTTGGGAGTGAAAAATATTTTACCCATGATTTATAAAGTCTAATGGACATGGAAAATATCACCCACCCCACCCCCCAACCCCCGTATACTAGCATTATACAGTTAATAGTGGAGTGCTCAAATCAAGTTTCAAAAATGTGAAAAAATCATGCAAGCTAATCCTGGCAGCCAATGTAGTGGAAAACAAATGCCATGCAATCATCAGTTTGCTGGATATCATTTGAACATTGTTGGCATCTCTATGGGTTCAGTCTCACGGCTAGAATGGGGGCTCTATACATTGACAGGGAGGTGCAATATGAACATGATTTTCAAAATCACTAAGTTTTATAAATGAACTATAACCTACATGAGGGTACACCAATGGTTTTTCTTACAAGCGTATTTTGGAATATTCTTCTCTGTCAATGAAGGTTGAATAAAAAAATGGCATAAACACCATATGCATAATGGCATAAGCACCAGCTCAGGTAGGCTTACTCAGTGTAACAAGTTATTGTTCATATACACATATACATGTAGATTTAACGTTTTCGTAAATTGTTCCTCCCTGTCAGTATCTGAATGAGCCCTGTCTACCTTCTTCAATGGTTATTAGATAACAAAATCATAAGCTGCTGCTTTTGAGCAACAAGATTCCATGCAAACATGCACTTCATATTGGAAATATATTTTCAAAGGACAATTGTCAATATTACACATCATATATACTCCACTACCACCACCACCAATGCCTTGTACCCAACATTGAAACACATACACTAATCACTGCCACCTTAATTAATCCCTTCCTATTAACAACATGTATTAGTACCAAATATGGGAACAATGCTGGCAGTTAAGAAATAAAATCAAATACTGATCCTTGACATTGCTAGAATTATGAAATTTTTGTAATTATGCGTATGACGAAAAAGCTTACACGTCCTACTTGCCTCATAAGTTTAGACAGAGATAAGAGTTGGAGAATAGTATCAACATCATTATCGTTGACATTATTGTTAACGATTTTTGTGTTTTGGATTATATCAAAAATAATATTTAAATTGATGCAGTGTTAGTAATATTATTAATAATTGAAACAGGAAATTTACTCTGGAAATCATATATAAATTGCGTCCATCTGCTTTTACGTCACCGGCAATGTCAAAGTTCAAAACAAATACATTTCATGCAAATATAAAAGTGTATCGAAAATATTTTACTTATACATATGAAATAAACAGAATGTATAAAAAAATGTCTGATTCGCTGAAAAAATTCTGGTTAATTTATAGTTAACACAAAACATACATAACACAGCTTATTGCATCAGTAAGATTAAAACCACACAACGATTAAAGTTATATTTTCAACACGCATGATATTCACAGATTATGAAAAAATTGTGAAGTTGATAGAATGTATGCACAAACAAAAACATGCAAAGCATAAAACCATCTATGTGCAAAGTGTTGCCATGGTGATGCCGTCATTACATCATTCCCAGAGACGATGTAATAGGAATACATACCTCTCTGGGATCTCTGCCTTGCTGAAGAGCCTGAAAATGGGTAGCATTATGTTACAAGTATTCTGATTGGCTAACAACACAATTAGCATAAATATTACATTCTTTTTCCTTGGCTACTGATAGATCAACTGACTAACAGGAATTACATTCATTGGTTAAGTCAGACAACTAATTATAATATTACATTATAATTTTTACCTGGTTGATTTATTGGTGAACTATTTAAGAAAGTAAAATCATGCATTTTCAGAGGAAACCAAATTACAGGTAAGCTTTACATGCACAGCAAAGAATTGTTGACAGTGCGGTTGCATATGTGGGGAAAGACAATCTATCTAAGAAGAATATAAAAAATATTTTTTAAGAATTTTGAGAATTATTTTTGATTACACTACATCATCAATAGTCAAATATATTCTTTTCTGTACAATTTTACCAATAAAAATAAAAAAACAATAATAACAATTTTTTTTCACATAAATCATAGTCATGTCATGTCTAAATTTTAAAAGAAATTTTCTAAATGGTGCCGCATTAGTTCACTACTTCAATCATAAGTATGATCGTTCCAGTGAAAGCACTGTGACGGCAAATTGAATAATTTATTTACACTACGTACTATAACATAAAGTATGATAATTGAAACACATCAGCATAACAAAAAATAACAAAAAGAGTGAGGTTAGAAGGTCATCCCCCTCCTTGGTAAATTTATCTTATGACTCTGCAATAACAGTATACCAATACAGCTAAGAGTATTTACTTTGATTTTATTGGTTATTTGTAAATTTTATTCTAGAGATATTTTGAAAATGGAATGCTGTTCACAATTTTAATAAAAATCATTCCTGTAATAGTTTGTCTTTCAATGTGATAGAATATACAGTCTAAAATGAAATGTACTTCATCCTCAACCTCACCAGTATCACATTTTCTGCATAGTCGGTTTTCAGTTTCAATTTTAGATATTTCTTTTTCTCTAGTTTAATTTCTAAGTGATCACTTAGACAAAATTTTTACAGTTATTTCCTCAGATTCATGGTCAAGTCCTTTAATTACTAAATACAGAGAAGAAAACCAAAAGGCAGAGACTCATATCTCATTGACCTGATATAAAATATAATTAAGGAATAGGAATTAAACCTATTACTACAATATTACTTAAAGTTCGCTTTCAGGACAAAAGTACTTAAAAGTTATTGGTATACTTAGAAATTATTTACTGCAGGTAATTCTTTCAAAGTTAGAGTCAGGAATTTAGTACTAGCTTAAGGGGACATAAAACTGGTCACCTAAAGTGTGTTTTCAACATCTACAATGGCAGCATTTTTCATACCTACCTGGTGATTGGTTTAATGCCTGCCCTCTGGTTGGATACTCCTGTGCACCTGGCTGACCAAAAGTAGTATTGTACATCTGGGTATCGGCGTAGGCATAAGGATTGGCCCCCGACTTTTTTCTCACGACTTTATTATCATACTGAATATTAAAAGAGATTAAAATATGTGAATTACTAAAGAACATGATATTATTTAGGGATATTTTGTAATTTACAGGACAGGTTTGTGGATATTTTACCTGACAAATGAAATGACGAGTGGCTGGCTGCAAGCCTTGGCTATAAATATAGACTTACGGTTGTCTAAAAAAACCCGGAACCGGAACATGAAATTAAAAATATTTGGATGTACAGGTTGTTTAATATACCGGTAAGGCCACACTGATTTAATTTTATGGATGACATCCTCTGGAGACCCCAAAACTAATGCGAGAGGGCGAAAAAAAAAAAAAATCCTGCAAAAAAAAAAAAAATACTGCTAAAACCACAGGACTACGGAGCTGCTATTATGAATTGAACCACAGAACACAATGTATCAAAAAACAACAAGAAGTCTTTATTTGTAGGAGGCACATGTTGATATACACATCTCGTACTGTATTACTGTCACAGGTACACATAACCATTTCAGACAAGCTCTAGTACATGTAGTCATGATGAAGTACCTTCAGTCAAAAACACTGCATTCAAGGTACAACATGAACATGATTTTCATTACAAGTCAAGGCGGAATGTACATATCACTACTTTATGACAATAACTAACAAAACATTGCAATGATACAGAAATGTCCTTGCTTGCTCCTCTCTACACAGTAGGGGTTAGCTTTAACCAATCTCTCGTATAGCTGTGTAAATGTCACATCTCCCTGGCCGACGTCAATTGCGTACCAGTCTACAAAAATCCCTCAGTTTTTCCTCTGAAATTTTATGCTCACGTATTCCCGGCAACGCAACACGCATGTGCAGATCATTTACGACAAAATTGGCACGTTTTTAGATAGTCCAAAAAGAGTTTTACGACAAGCCGGTGCTTTGCGACAATACGAGTCGGCAAGTTCCGGACAGAAAACCGATCTGTGGAGACTCGTCGTCGGAGATTTTTTTTCTTTTTTTTTTTTTTTTTTTTTGAGAACAGGCAAAAACTACAGCGCACGTGGATGTCATCCATAAAATTAAGTCGGTGTGGCCTAAGTGATATTGCATTAATAGTTTGTATATTATTAAATTATTAATACTATTTATTTTATTATAATCACAATTTGTAGTTGTGTGTACACTCATTCTAATAATGTGATTTTTTTCACGTCTTTGGTCGATGTGTTACACTTCCAAATATTTTAAATTTCACATTTGGGTTCTGGGTTTTTTGGACAACCTAAGACTTACTGCTTTTCTAGCTCCTGTACTACTTCCATCTAGATTGGCTGCAGCTCTTTTCTGTAGTGGTTTAACAGGTGCTCCAAATGTCTTGGATCTCTCTGCACAGAATGGCATATGACGAGCTGCAGCTTTTTGATTGAATCTCCTGTGACATGTGGGACACTCAATGAAATCTACAATATATAAATCAGATATCATAATGAAATGAAAGTCGACACAGAATTTTAGTGTCAGCATATCATTTGTTTCTAGTCCTCAAGATATTGCCACGCTTTTAATGAAGCTACATTAGGCTTCCACTGAAGGTAAAATAGCTTTGAGAGTGTGGTACAGTGTGGTTCAAGGGTAACTTAACATTTAGCGCACTTTGAACTAGTTTCAAGCTGTCTTATCTTGGTTTCAAAACTACCACGTATCTAATTTGTGCAAAGTAATCTGTTTAAATATGTCTCATATTAACATGGGGAAATACTGTAAAATACTTTATTTCAGCTGGAATTAATTTTCGCTCAAAAGACATTTTTTAGTGCTTTGTATGGAATTTATGTTCACTGATTTTTGACAAGTTGAATCTAAAATATGGGAAAAAAGGTATATTTGCTGGATTTTATTTTCACTGAATCATTCCTTCAACGAAAATTAATTCCAAGTGAAAATAAAGTATTCTACAGTACTAGAAATTAAAATAAATTAAAATGATACTCCCTTTAAAAAAATGTATGAAAGGGCAAAGCCAACTGAGTTACCCCCCGATTGTACTGTATACTACTTAGTTTTTCTTAGCCAATTATGCAGATATTTGGAAAATAAGATTATGTAAAATAATGATACATCAATAACTTTTATGTAGCAACCATTTATATATATTTTGTTTTCCTAGCAACTGCTCTGGTTTTTCCAACACCTTGGATACTGTATCCATGGTTACCATCAATGGTAAGACAGTAATCATCCAAGTTCAATTTATCAGTACACTGATACAAGTACCGAGTATATAGATACCTTTATGTCATTGTCACCTTGGCAAGTTTAGGGTTAGGGCTTAAAGGCCTAGTAGATAATAACTATCAGTCAATATATACATATATACAGGGTCATATAGGTTCTTAACAGAACCAATCAAATTCAGATCTTTTATCCTTTTTCATACCAACATTTTTTTCCAAATTTGTTTTCAACTCAATCCCAGAATAAGAACACAATCAAAATCGTTTTTTTAGAAAGTCATTTGATATTCAGAATAAGTCATTTATATAATGTAACAATATGGGGCTATCGTATGAAAGCAATAATCACTAACAGTGCTTTCCCCAGTGAGCGAAATGCGTTTGATGACCGGACATATATGCTTCAAGTGACAAAAGTGCTAATTTTCAGCTTCTGTAGCAAAAAAAAAAAGAACAATCCCAAAATTGCAAGAGTGCAATGTGCCCTTGTTACCCTGTTTAGAGAGAAGACAGATTAAATTGTATACACATTTAGTCTGTGAAAATTATCTGAAAATTACAGAAACCTTTGGTAATAAAACGTTGACAGAAATAAGATATTGGCTGTAAATCTTTCTGGAATTTAAAAATTTTTTTCGCCATGATGAAATAAAGATTATTAAATTAATGGAAACTAACGGCTCATAAAAATTATAAACAAATTTCTCCTAACATCAATTAATTTTCAAAAACAAGCAGCCTCTCGGCTGAGATAGCTCCGCTGTTAGCAATGCACATTTCAATTAATGAACAGAAGATATCATTAGAAAATGAACAATATGCATAGTATCAATGCAATGGGACAAGAATTCAAAAATATCACTTTTCACCAAAAATGACAAAAATATGCATCAAAATTGGGGAATTGAAGATATCATCATACAAATGAACAAATTTGAGAGTGGTCCACATGTAGTACCTATATATGTAATATCAAAGCATTTGGACTTGCGGTTTTAACAAGAAGTCAAAAATATCAGTTTTTACCAAAAATGACAAAAATATTTACCAAAATTAGAGAATTGTAGATATCATCACAAAATGAACAAATCTGAGAGAGATCCACATGTAGTACCTATGTATGTATTATCAAAGCAATTGGAATTACAGCTTTTAACAAGAAGTCGAAAATATCACTTTTTACCAAAAATGACAAAAATATTCACCAAAATTAGACAATTAAAGATATCATTACAAAATGAACAAATCTGAGAGAGATCCACATGTAGTACCTATATATGTAATATCAAAGCAATAGGACTTGCGGTTTTTAACAAGAAGTCGAAAATATCACTTTTTACCAAAAATGACAAAAATATTCACCAAAATTAGAGAATTGAAGATATCATCATGAAATGAACAAATCTGAGAGAGGTCTACCCAAGGCACATATACATCAAGTATCAAAGCATTCAGGCTTTTAGTTTTCAAGAAGAAGTCAAAAATATAAAACATTGACACAGACGACGATGTCAGAGTTCATGATTAAAACAAATACTTAGTTGACAAGTGGGACAACTGGTCGCCCACGTGAAAAAATAGTTGTCTGATAAAAAATTTTGAGGATTAACGACAAAGCAGATTTCCTGAATAACTTTTTCTTGTTACAATGATCAGTCAAATTCACATCGTAATACTTTTCAAAAAAAATGCTCAAAAATGGTTAGAAATTGTCTTGTTGTTTAGT